TATTTTTAATATTTTATATATTATTAATATATTTAATAAAAGAAGGCCTTTTAAAATAGTTAGCTTTAAATAAATTATATAATAATAAAGTAAAGAGGATAATTTTATAAAATAATAATAGAATTAAAGAAATAAAATAGTTATTTAAAAAAATCTTAAATAGTAAAAGAAAAAAGAATATAAGATTTAAATATAAAATTAAATAATTAACCCCTTATTAATTAATTTAAAAACTAATAATAAACTTTAAAAGTTATAAAAATAAATTAATAATATTTTATTATTTTAATCCTTTTAAACTAGGATTATTATATTAATTAAAGATATTTTAAATAAAATAATTATAAAAAATTATACATTTATTAAAGTAAAGGTATAAGTAATAAAATATAAGCTATATATAAAAGGGGATATAAAGAAAAATTATAGATTTATATAAAAAAGAGAAGAGTTATTTTAAAAATTTATTAAAAAAAAAAAAGATTAAAAATTTATTATTATAATAAAGGTAAATTAAAGAATTATAAATAGTAAGAATAAAGTAGTTAAATGCTAAAGCACTATTTAAATTAAAACTAGATTAAATTAAACTAAATTAAATTAAAAAAAAAAAAAAAAAAACTAAAGTAAAATTAAATAAATATAAAGGAATTAAAAAAAGAATAATAAAGGTTAATAAAATTAAAACCTATATTATTAAATTAAACTTATACTTTTTTTAATTATAGCTATATTAATTTAAAATTAAATTATTTAAAGGGTAAAGGGAAAAGAGTTAAAAATTTTAATAACTTTATTATTATTAAACCTTATAGCTATAAAATTAAATAATAAAGAATTTTAAATTAAAATATTAATGTTATTATAATAAAAAGATAATAAAAATAAAAAATAAAAGGATAAAGGTAAAAATTTATTAAAAAAGAATTATAAAAATTCTTTTTAATAAAATGTTAAATTATAACAACTATATTTTTAAGTTAAAAATAAAATAATTAAAAGTTTTCCTAAATATAAACTTCTTCTTTATTACTAAAGTAAGGATATAGCTATAAAGTAAGGATAAGTTAATAATAATAGTTAAAATAAATATTATAAATAATATAATCCTTTTAAAAAATAGAAAAAATATTAATAAATATTAAGGAAATAATTATATAAAGGTAATATATATTATCTTTATTTTTTTTAATATTTATAAATATATATACTTTATAAACTTCCTTTTTTACATTTTTAAATATAAAGGTAAAATTAATAATTAAAGTAATAACTTTATAATATAATATTAATAAATATATATATTAATATAATATAATTAAATTAATAATAATAATAGTAATATTAATAATATATTAAAAATTAATATATTAAAATAAAAGTAAATTTAAATTATAAGCATTTTTAATTATTAAAAGTATTATTTATTTAAAAAAATATAATTAAAAATTAAAAATAATAAAGGAAATTATAAAATAAAAATAAAACATTAATAAAATATAATTAATATATTAATTTATATAAATTATAATATTTATTATATTAAATATAATGGGTTAAAAAAATACCGCCCTTAAATATATATATAAAGCGGAATAGTATTACTTCTTAAATAGTATTACCCTTTTTATAATATACATTAAGGTTAATTTAAAGGTAATAAAGGTAAAACTTTTTACCTATAAAAATAGGCGTATATATTAGTATAATAATAGTAGTAATAAACGAAAAAAAATAAAAAGAGGTATAAATAAAGTATTTAAAAAAACCTTTTTTAAAAAAAACTAAAAACAAAGCTAGGTATTATAATTATAAAAAAGTAATAAAATAAATGTAAAGAAGGAAAAAGGAAAAATAAAAAAGTATATAGAGTAAATAATTAATTAATATAATAAAAAATTCTACTATAAAGTTATAAGGCACCACTATATTACCTTAAAAAGAAGTATAGCTTAAAATAAATAATATAATATATATACTATATAACTATATTATAAATAAATTTAAACTTATATAATTAAAGTTAATTATATTTAAAAGAGAGGAATATTATTATAAAATTAAGGAAGCTTAATTTCCAATATATAATATAAACTAAGGAATATTATATATAACGTTAAAAAAGGGAATAAGGGGCAAAAACTAGAACTTCCTTCCTTATATAATAATAGAATAAATATATAAAACTACAGTTGGGCAGTACTGTGACAGCTTGGGAAGAAGCTAAAGAGGGTGAGATTATTGGTACGGACGGCTTTGTCTACTTGGACCATACCGGCCGAAGGGGAGGCAAATCCGGACTTAGCTGCAGCCCGGTTCAATTCTTTAGGGTCTTTCTTACCAAGATTCGGCGAAACTGCGAGACGATTGAAAGAACTCACATGGGCCGAATCCTGGACAGTCAACTGCTTTCGCCGGATGAATTTGAGTGAGAGGTTTGGTAGCACCGCTGGGAGAATAGAATAATTTACCATGTCATCATTGCTGTTAAGATGCTGTAGAGACAGGAACTTCATTTATTACCTGCTGAGGCCTGGTGTGGAAACTTGAGAGAGAAAAGTAGTTGAAAAAATACGGAGAGAAGCTAGTGTGAGTGATACAAGCATGGCATACATATATGTAAAGAGACCGGGGTTTTCTTCCATGTCATTTATAGACAACTCTGACATGAATGTAATATTGCCATGAAAAACTCAGGACCTATTTATTATCATGTCCTTGAAGTAAGTATGCAACCAGTTGGTGCATACCAATATTGATGACTGATAATATAGAGAGAGTATTGAGCTATCCGTTCTATGCAAGTAGCGGGACTTACCCCGCCAACTAGCATTGAAGGCAAACAGACCTCCCGGCGATGGGAAGTTGCGATGCGGGGCACTCTCCCCTGACAATCCAGGACACGGCCGAGCAGGATTCCTTTCGCTAACAATCTTACTATGGGGCAAGGCAATAGGTGATAGACGAATGAGAGGGTGAATAAAGCACCGAATATTCTGACTGTTCTGACTGTTCTGACTGTGTGGCATCTGAATCGTGCACCACCAGCACGGCGTTCGTTCAACTGTTGCGCCGCCAACCAACGTGAGGCAATTAACTCAGTTGGAAGTGATAGAGGCCACACAGTCTTTCACCTTTTACTTACAGTACTTGTGTCTACCTGGTAAGTACACCTACTTGTACCTATGATCTACCTCCTATCTACTTAGTAGTCAGGGACTTACTTACCTTACCTACATGTAGGTATCTTACCTTAGTCACTCACACAAGCCACTATCCATGATCCATCCTAAACCGCCTGTCTTTGATCCATCCCATTTCCACCGAAGTAACCATGTTGGAGAATCCAGCCCTCATCTACGAGGGCCCGACTTCGCCATGGCTTGACAAGCAGCCCGCGCCCCTTATCCTCCTGCATGACGGCGGTGGCACAACCTTCTCCTACCACTGTCTATACCCCATTGGTCGCACGCTCTACGGCATCCAGAATGCGCGCCTTGACGAGGGCGGTTACTGGGAAAGCGGTATCTCGGGCATGGCAAGCCACTATATCGAACTTCTTGAAACAGCCCTGCCCAAAGGGGGAGAGATCATCATCGGAGGTGAGTTTCCCATTCCACCCTGCTGATTTCATGCCCAGACTCAGCACATGCATTTGCAGTGCGCCGCTCACTCACTCACGCACTCACGCACTCATTCACTCATTTCATCTGTAGGTTGGTCTTTGGGGGGGCTTCTCTCTATCGAGGTAGCCTGGCAGCTCGCCAACCGACCTGCTGACTCAACAAAGCCCAAGTTCACCATCCTGGGCATGATCTTCATTGACAGCGTCTATACCAAGTCCCTCTATGGCCTACGCAACATGCCCGACCTGACGGCACAACCCATAGTGAAATCACCCGAGGAGCTCAAGGCAATGCCTCTACGTGAGAAAGTCGGCTTAAACATGACACACGCCCGCATGATGATCACTCACTGGGACATGCCGGACTGGAAGGGACGCGAAGCCGAAATCCCCCCGACAATTCTGATGCGCGCCAAGGAGCTCGTGAAAGAGGATGGCCAAGCCTTTGTTGACCATGCGCGTGAGTACCGGCTGCTTGGCTGGGACAACTATCACGGAGGCACCTGGATTAAAGAGGTTGTGGACGTGGATGGACATCACTTCAGTATTTTTGATGACAAATATGTGAGTTACCCTCTTACATCAACTCATTCACGCGGATGTCCAATTGACACTTCCTATAGATCAAAGACGTAACAGCCAAGATTGCGGTGGCTGCGGATGACCTCGATAAGGACAATCTCTAGACCAACTGTCTCCGTGTGCATGGAAGGGACTTTGCCGGTCAACCAAGCACAGGAGAAAGAAGAGTTAGAACAAGAACATTCATGACTGGCGTTACATGGCGCATTGCATATACCATTTTCGAACATACTCATCAATCATGATAGAGCATAGACGTGCCTAGCCTCCGTTTCTTCTTCCCGTAGAAGGACTGAGTTATGCCGATGGACTGGGGAGGAGGTGGCTAGGCATTGACACAACGCACATAGGATCGGCACATAGATACAGGAATCAAAGCACATTTTTCGCAATAACTATCTTTCCTCATTGTGCATAAGCTTCACAGTGTGGTTCCCGGAATCTATGTATACTTCACCAGCAGACCCCTTTGCACCACTGTTGATCATGACACTCTTGTCAACTCATTCACATCTTTCATGACTGAATGAAAGCAATCTGCCAATATATCCGTAAATAGGGTTTTGTGAGCCTTCCGTCTCTTGTAGTATTCCCATCGCGTCCTGCCCCCCTTGCTGCTGAATCCCACCTGTGAGACCTGTAAATAGATCTCCTGGGCTTCGTTGGGTGTTAATCATCTACCTGGACAAGAACACCATTCTCCATGCAATCTTCCTTATCACCCGTGTAAAAAGGTGTACTTACTCACATGATGCAAACGAAGCATGAGTAGCACGAGGGAGATCATCATCTACACTCTGACAAGTAGTAATGCGAATATGTAAATGCTTCGATTGCATTGATTCTCAACCTACTAAGGAATAGGTACCTAGTTAACGTAAAATGGACTCCTCATTGCATAATATCGATACTCCGAGCATTCTTTCCAGCCCTCAATACAGATGATAAATAGGTGCGCTCCTTCCTTTGATCACGTTGCGCCCGTTCCTAGATTCCCTCTTTCAATACCATGACTTGACTAACAGTATTAGATTACGTTTACCTTTGGCATAATCCAAGCTGGACACATCCTTGTTGATTCCAAGTACTTGACTCTAAATTTATTAAGTGACCCAGATTAACTGAAATATCATCTCAGTTGTATACGCGACCTTCTCCTAAAACCTGCGATCAGCCACACTTGATATATTCACGCCACGATGTGTTATCTGTGGATCATCTGTTTATCGTTGCAGCGCCGGTCGCTGGAGGTCGCATACTGTGGTGATTTGGCACCTCTCTGTGTACCGAGGTCCCGCAGAATAGTAACCCGGGAGAGTGTCGGGTTGGTGCTGTTGCTGAGCGCGCTGAGCTGCTTTGGACGTGTCACCGTGTATGGAATGTCGGATATGATCTCATGTTGTAGTAGTAGTTAGGGTGTAGTGTCTGGTAGCAGGTGGGCTTGTTGTTGTTCTTATAGTTACCTTGAGGTTGGAGGTTGAGATCGGAGATGGTTAAACTTGATAGCTACTTGTGGTTACATAAAAGGGTAATTTATAATAAATTACTTCATTACGTGCAGTCTCGTTGGTGTTGTAACACTGGGCCGTTGATGTGTTTTCAGCTGAATATGCTTGGGTTCGTTATCTTGCGGTCTTTCAGTCGAAGCTTTACATTGAGCGATGGGAGATCAAGAGAGCAAGGCGCAAACCATCTAATGAGACAGTCGTGCGCAAAATTCTCAAATTGGTAGCTCTGCATTATGAAGCTTGAAATAGACTGGCTTTTCCTTTTCACTAAATTAAATTTAAATAGTTACAACTAATTAACTAGTTTGTCTGTTAAATTGCGAGTAGATGTATCCATAACGACCATAATAGCATGACATATAATTAGGAATCAAAAATTGATTTCAGTTCACGAATTCTGTGGCTAAGTTGCATAAAACCCCTTCTCCCTTCCAGTAATTATCCCTTGATTCAATCTTTTGTATTTACACTCACGAATGGCTGATTCTGCCTCATCTCTTGCCCTAAGCCACAAAGCGAATCCGAAAGTACATCTACCTGCCCATTCTCGTACGACCTACTTCATGCCAACAGCATCAAGAACAAGGTAAACATAAGTTCCACTGATCGGACGGGCTGTCTGATTCCAGCTCTGGCATATACCTCATGCTCCTTGCACTAACCCTGGCTAGCGACATTAGAAAAGAAGAGAAAGTTGTTCGAAGTATTTCTTGCAAGGAAGTCACCTCAGATGGGTCGAGGGAGTGTCGTGAGGGCCTCGTTTCGATGAACCTTGAACGACCTCATCGGTGTCGTCGTTGGTTGCAGCTGAGACTAGCGGTAATAAGACGAAATAGGAGGCGCTATCGACGGTGATAACTCCATGTGAGAAGGAGTTAGCAGGGATATAATGGCGATTATGTAGGCATGAGATGAATATTGTGTATTTGGGGTTGCTGCATCTAATGATCTCAAAATCGCATACTTGGCCGTTGAAGGCTTAAGCACTATGTTTATAGTGCATTTAGTGATCTTATCCTCTATAATTATAGCGAGCTGTGCTTGATGTTGCAAGCAGTTTAGCGCAATCTAACTAACGGAATGGTTTGCTCTTATGCTTGTCGACCAGCTCATATCACCAATACCGCAACTGTGAATCGATTTCGTATTATACAGACTCATAGGTTATCAGGAGATTGGAAGCAGCAGATTTCAGATACTTTTGGCGATCGTAAATGACTGTCTTACTGTATAGTCAAGAACAGAGCCCTTTAATTATCACCCACATCTACCCAGCATGGTACAGCACATATGTTAGTCCCTTCGACGATCGATTTCCTGTGGTAACTGCTTTGTTATCTGTTGTGTAAATCTAGAAGACTTGACGTTTGATGTGCGCATTCCCTCTGCTGCGCTCATGGCATGTTGTGGACATAGGATAGGAAAGGAGATAACCACTCGTAAATACGAAACCCGAGATCATCGTGTTGCAGCTCACCTCTTATCTGTTGCAATTGAGACCGGTTATTGATGGGGTGTTAGTTAGAGGGTTAAATGGACTAATGGACGAGATTGGAAGTTCTGGCTATCCGCGCCCTCATTGCGGCATGTGCTGTCTTAAGTCCGCCCGTTATGTCCCTAGCTGCAATTATTCTTCGGCACGTCTGATCGGTCTGTGAAGGTAGAAATGTGATAACACTTGGAAATAAGCATCTTGTCTAAGCGTAGGGTGGAGCGTGAGAGTGAACGCAGCCAATCAAAGAAGCGAGAATCCGAGGTTGCTTGAATAGAAAGTCATATTGGAGCAACCGCTGCTCGAAATCTGTATATGACACTGAATAGTAGGATGTGAAATCCGAATACATAAACACTTTCTCATGATCGCGAAGATGGAAAACTGCGAGAGTCATCACCGCACCTCTAAACATTTTCCAACATCTCATTTACATCACCAGCCATGTCTCCCCGACAGCTTCCTACTCAACAACTAGGTCGTAATGGGCCACATGTCCCTCGAATCGGCTTCGGTTTGATGGAGCTCAGCACTGGCTATGTGGAAACATCTCTGTTAGTAGCATCCCGAACCAAACGTATATTGAATCGAAGCAGTGCTAACCTGAAATCAGGTCTGATGAAGAACGTTTCAAGGTCTTAGACAGAGCTTGGGAGATCGGAGCTACCTTCTGGGACACCGCAGCCGGCTACGGAGACAATGAAGTTCTTCTTGGAAAGTGGTTTAACCTGCACCCAGAAAGACGCAAGGACGTATTTCTCTCCACCAAGTTTGGTGCTCGGGTGGAGTGGGGAGAAGATGGCAAGGCCAATTTCGTGATTGATAGTTCGCCCGAGAACTGTCGACGCAGCTGTGAAAAGAGTCTTCAGAATCTTGGAGTTGATGTCATTGACTTATTCTATGTGCACCGGTTCGATCGTGTCACTCCCGTGGAGAAGACTATGGAAGCCTTGGTGGAGCTGAAAAAGTAAGTGATCGCGATCTGCAATTTGATTTTAAGCAGACCTGATATGTATCGCGCGTTTAGGGAAGGCAAGATTAGGTGTATCGGGTTATCTGAGCCAAGCTCGGACACTGTCCGCCGCGCTTGTGCCATCCATCACGTCACGGCAGTTCAGATTGAATACAATCCTTGGACACTTGACATAGAGACAGAAGCGGGCACGAACCTGCTGGCAACCTGCCGCGAGCTTGGTGTAGCCACTGTTGCCTATTCTCCTCTTGGTCGTGGATTTCTTTCTGGCAGGTTCAAGTCTTTTGAGGATCTAGGCCCGGAAGATAAGCGGCATGCACTTCCTCGGTTCAGCCCGGAGAACTTCGACAAGAACCTGGAGCTTGCCAAGGTGTTTACTTTGATGGCGGCAACCAAGAACTGCACTCCCGCTCAGGTTGCGCTAGCTTGGATCATGTTTCAGGGGCCCGACATGTTCCCAATTCCGGGCACAAAAACTTTGAAGTATTTAGAGCAAAACGTCGAGGCTGTCAATGTCAATATCACTCTTGAAGATGACATGCACATTAGGGAAACAATTAAGGCGATGGGAGGAGCGAGAGGAGCGAGACAGGTTGCTCAGGGGAACGCGCTCGCCGATACGGCGAAACTGGTTTGAATGAGACTGCGTGGAGAGATAAGACAGGCCGTGTTTGATATCAAGAAAGCCTACTGTGTGACTACGAGGGCCCTCGTTAGTGGGCAAGATAGTCATATTTCAAAGTCTAGCACAGTTGAAGTGTAAGTTTTGTTTCACATATTCGTCTTCTATAGTATGACCGCAAGTGTGATTGATGAATTGGTAATCTGGACCTAGTTGCGGGCTCCTAATGCTAACCTCCAGCTCTAACTCCCTCCAAATTTGGCTGAGATTCGACAACTAGCAGCAATTGAGACCGTAGAGGCTAAGTAAATATTTTAACTCCGGGTAAAGAGAAAACCCGTGTTGTTCCTACGTCGAACCAAAAAAGCTGACGCCGTCTACCTTCATAATTTTAGTTTAGTATATTTCTAAACATGAGGACATCAAGAAAGAATGTGGATCAACAGCCCAGCCCATATCAACTTACCCTCAGTGTTAAGTAATACTTGTTTACAACGCATCGCAAGCAGCATTAACGGCGGGAATGACCTGAGTGAGGGCAACGGCTGCACCACAGGCGCTAACAACACAACCTGTAGCCGCCGATTGGACTTGGGGACGGGCAGCGCCTAGGATAAGGGACAGCTACATTAGCACTGCTCGGTTGGAATGTTATAGTCACGTAGGGATACTGAGTTGAGATGGACGTACAGATGCACTCATAGTCTGTGCTACCACAGTCCGTCACTTCTGCAACGGCATCCAAAATACAGGGTTGTGCGCAGGCGGGGATGTCTTCCCAAGACTGGGCCGAGACGGCGGCGATGAGAGTGACGAGGGCGGCGAGAGTGAACTGCATGGTTGCTAAGTGTCGTATTCCTTGCGATTGATGAGATATAGATGTTGAGATTGTCTTTGGTCGATAGGTATCGATGGCAACATTTCGATTGTCGAGCAGGTCATAGGGGCCTTTATATGCTCGGTGGAGGGAGATCGTCTCAGTACCACAACTCCATCGCACAGCGATCGTTACTCACATGTGAGAACAACGTTTAACCCGTGATGCCATCGAACCTCGGCCAGATGTTACACTCAGTTCCTTACACAGAATTACCACAGGTTCGTAGTCTCCGTCATAAAGTCGGCGGCGGTATATTTTATGCCAGGGGTCCCCGCTTCCCCGGATATCCATATCCCTGTCCTCGAGGAAGTCGAAATGAAGGGCCTACTTACCTAACAACTACGACGCTGGGGTACACCGAGGGTTAGATCGCCCTCAAACATTGTGTGATGCTGCGTAGAGCAGTTCCTAATTAGATGGTATCTCCCGCTGTCTCTGCGATACTCCATCATGGGAATACTGCATGAAACACGGGACATGCGTGACATCTGGCCGAGGTCGGTGCGTACGGCTCTGGCTCATACTTCGTGCATTCACATGTGATATGATTCCCAATCTTGCTCCGTGTTCTTCGCATTATTAAATGACTAGCACTTGTTCAACCCGCAAAAAGTGAAATGACACATCGCGTTCACTGTCTCATGGCAAGACATGAACCCGGCTGTACATCGAATGCTATGAAGATCGACAATCCTAACGTCAAAGAAATGAAAATGAGCTTATGAATGACATGTCTGTGAACAACTCACTGGCTTCAATGATGGATACGTACATCCCGAAGTTGGCATACGAAACTCCGGGGCCCCAGATTTTGGGATCGACACACCTACCCCACAGAGTATACTCCTTTACGTAACAAATATCACAGTAGATATGCAAAGCCCAAGGCCAAACGCAAGGGGATATATATTCCATGAAACAAAGCATAAGACAGGTCGTATCTGTGCCTTATGCCCTTAGGTACACCTTCTCAATTGAGTTAAGATTATACAAGCCTAAGGTGTGCGCTCGGCTCTTGGCAGTATTGAAGATCACATGTTCGCTACAACGTCTTACTTGGAGACAGAACTCCGCAAATGTTTCCTCAACTCCAAGGCGAGAGACTCTAGCTTCATTCCTAAATATTCTTGATACCAGAATCCTCTGCCCATTGCCATCTTTAGTAAGTGATGCAGAACACGCTATCACATTATTGGTTAAATCCTTGACTTGATGTCATGTTTCCATGCCAATTTTCTTTTCTGTTCTTGTTTTTTCTTTTATTTCCACCATCACTCTTTCCTTCCTGTTTCCCGCCCTCCGCTCCGATATAGTATATTGTTGATACATGTCTGGACGCGGTATCTGTTGCCATGCATTCTGTCCCTTTCCAGTTCAAAGACTTGAATTTTCACGATCTAGTTACGTTCTTACGGCGCTCTTTCCTTACCTAGGGAAGGTGCAATGCGAAATATGTCTGTGAAAGACCCCAGACGAAGTTAATGTCACGACTCAGTCGGAAAATTTCCGGGCAGGCTCAAATGGGCTGATAATTATCTATGAGACGAGGAACTGACTTCGCAGCATCCTTCCTCGGTATACACAACCATCCTCTGAATAGAGGATTAGTTGAAAGACGTAATCGGTTCTATTTTCAAAGGTAGTAGACTATATAGTATATTCTTCTTTAGTTCCGTTTGAGCTCTGTCTGCCGATGACAAATTTCTTTTGCCTGCATGGATACTCTCTCCCTGTGCCGCTATGCTGCATGTTATGATTTACGTATAATAGCATATGCCCACATGTTCCAGTTGCAACTCTTGATTGCTAAGACCGTCTTGCAAGGTAGGGCATAGTGCAGCGCCAATATTAGCTTCCACCATGTCTGTTGCATTCGCTCATTAATATAACACGCAAACGCGTAGTTATAACAAGAGCGATAGTTAGATATGACACGATGGCCGCCAGATGTTATAAAGGTCACTGATATCACTATAGCCGCCGCTCGGCAATCAACAGATAGACCTGAATACTTATTCAGCTAGAACGATTGTTCGCGAGTTAGTGTATGTAACCTCAATTGAATTGAGAAATACGTGACCGTTACAGTCAACCAAGTTATCTCATGAATGACATGGGAGATCCCTCGTAAATCTATACGAACAATCCTTTTGTGTTCCTTTGCACTCCTTACTCCTACCGTGATAGCACGTGAAGCGACTCCTTGACCGAATACACTTTCAACAGAACTATCCTTGTCTTCTCAACAGTATTCGAACTAGATTAGTTGATCTAGGCGCTAGATACCTCGCGTAAGAGGAAAAGTCGAGCGACAGTCAGCGGTCATGACTAGTGCTTATTATCACTAGATAGTTAAGAGACTTCTCATAAAAGCAGAAAACAGTTCATACACAGCAAGTCGAATATTCTAACGTCCATTTTCGCAAAGGCAAACGCTTGGTTTCGTTCTGACCTCTTGGAAGGCACATGGATTCGTTGCTACGATGCTTGAATTATAAGGCACCTTCTTCGGAAGTGAATGTGTTTGTTTCTGCTGAAGATGTTGGAACTATGGCCAAGCTCAAATCCCGCCGGCCCCGCTGCCTAGGCCAGCATTGGCTAATTGGCAATATCGGGTGAATAGAGGTAAATCAGCGAGATGGTTTGACTATAACGTCACACCATTAATCTGGCGTAGGCAGTATAACAGCTATTTTTGACCCCCCCCCCCAAATGAAGCAGTAGGCGAACAGAAACAGGAAGACCATAACGAATAAAGAGCACTGTGAATGACATTCAATTATTTTCCCCCATATCTCCTTTCAAGGGAATATGGTATCGATATATTGGAAAACAGTTGGATCGGTGTGATCAACGGAGTATTGATGGATTTCATCATTCGATATCCCGTAAAACATAGCCTCCTCGCTCGTTGCTATAGCTGTAAAGTTCAAATCAGACGGGCCACCACGAAAGTCAACGGCTGGAATCGATACGAAGTGACTTCGATAATACGACCCTGCTACGGTCCCATTGGGAAGCAGAGCAAGGAAGACAACTGTCCTGAAGTTATCCAAGAGGGTTATCGAAAATTGTAACATTGTAGATGGCGCAGGTAAAGTAGTGCCAGACAAGAGTTCGCCATCTGTGCTTGGTCAGCTATAGTTCAGCAAGCCCGAGTGGGACAGTATCGGGTTCAAGTTGCGCGACCAAAATCATGGTAATTGAAGGGCCTAGTGAGGATCAATGACGGCGACACAATGGCTTCTGCTTACCATGATACCACTCTGCCTCATATGTTGACTTTTGCGCCTTTCCAGAGTCTGAAGACAGAAGACTTTCGCTCATCAATGTAAGTCGTGCCACGGAATCGCCATCGGTTTGCACCTCTGGTGTTAGTGCCAGGCTCGTGCCAGCGACAACACGATCAGACTCGACCGCCAAAGATGCATGGCTCTTATCGCTCCCATTTAAGACGTTGATGCCGGCATCTCCGGGTCTCTGGTACGCCACAGCCCAATATCCCACACAGATGTCCAAACATCGATTCCAAGCCGCGGCGAGTTGTGATCCGGGATACGTCTCGATGACCTCCCCATCTAGTGTTTTGAATGTCCACTCTTCCGGCGCATCCACGAGGTCTTGTACCTCGACACTGGCAATCGTGTTGTCGGGTGCTATATACCACAGCAGAATCTTGTTCCTTGTATTATTGATTTCATTGTAACTGAAAGAGATGCTAGCAATCGGAGTAGATGGACTCAATGGATTTATAGGCGTACGCGATGTCTGAAAGATGTCCGTGAGGTTGTCCGTAGTCCAGCTCTGATTCTGGGTGTTCCACCTACGTGCAACGATGGCACCGTATCCGTCTTGGAAGAAGATGAATCGATGTGTGTATCCGTCTGGATCTGTCCAGTTTGTTGCTGAGAGATGTGACGTCGGCAAAATATGATAGCTTGTCGGGTTAGTCAAGTTACCTCCGTTCGTATGGTTATTCCCGTCACTGTTGGTAGCATCTTCTTGATGTTGGTTGTGTGAGCTTTTCGAAGATAAGCCGCCTCCTACACCACCAGCAATTGCCGCAAGGATGAAGATTATAACAATACCCAGTATTATATAAAACGAGCGGAGGGGCAGACCACATTTTCTCCTTGGTTCTTGGAGAGAAGTCTCTAGCCGGTGTGCTGAAGGTGCCAGGTCAGATTGCTCATGTTCGTGTGCCCAGTGCCTCTCAGGTAACGCCACCTCCAACCCATCATATGGCTCTTGACTTTGCATGGCCCATTAAATAATCACGCACCAGCGCCAGTTCTATATGTCGGCGATCATCGATCTGCGATAACAACACTGCAATCTGCGGGTAAAAGAGAGAAGAAGGTGTAGGTCGGAACCTCCAAGTGGATAGGTGCTTGTTGTGTCGATTTCCTCCCGAAGGGGTGGCCGACCCCTGCCTGCTACGGTACGAAACCATTACTGGATCCTACCTACCAACCCTTACAAGACGTGTTCTGGGTGTATCAAGTTCTCTCCATCGGGCATCCGACTGGGCATTTGACTGGGCATTTGACTGGACATCTGACTGGACATCTGACTGGGCATGTTTGGGGGGCCTAAAAGGTGGCTGAGCATCATCCTGGTTGAGGTTGCACTCTCTGCCTCTCGGTGTCTAAGCTGTGCCCACACCTCAGCCAGGAGGATTATAGTGCCTCGAGTGTGTAACCTTCAGCTGATGAGCCATTTTAGCCACCGCGATACAAAACGCATCATCAACAACTGTACAAGAGTTAAGTCTATAGGATAGGGTCGACGCCCAAGACATTTTGTGGCAGCACCTCTGATAACGCCATGCTCTTCAATGAGCCTTGATGCGACGCATTTTAGGAAATTATCTTTTCTATCATCTAATTGGTACTGAATGGGACTCTTATTTTGGATTCTAGAACTACTCATTTAAAGACCGCCTCTAGGAGTTTTTCTACTTCAGAGCTAACAAGCTACAACTTGATAACTGCAAGCCCTGCAGCATCCAGCAGCGCACTAAATTGGACTTCAGTCCATTCCATGCCGCTGGGTACAGCTAAAGAGGTAGAGTGTTAGTAGTAGTGATGATATTGGTGTCTGGGAATGCTGGATATAGCGGGGTGTTGCTAGCGGAAGCATAGATTCGGACATAAGTAGTTTGGAATATCCCAGTGTCATAGCCACTGCTGTCTTTTCTTCGGGATTCTGGAAGATTAGCCTGCAAGGGGCATTGGGATAGTACTGGTAGAACTCGGAAACGTCTGCGCCCTCGTCACTTGCAATGTCAACAAGCAGTGTAGCATCTGGATTCGTCTTGGTGCTACACGCGTACAAGTTGAACGTGCAGTACGCCTTGCGCTTTAGCCCTACAAAAGGCCATTGCAGGCTGGAAGACCAATTGTACATAGAGTTGAGTCAAGCCACCAAGGCCAAGAAGCAACTGTTGGTCAAGAGCTCCTACAACCCTAGTTAATCATTGTAACCTAAATAGCTTCAATTCCAAGCTCAGTCATTCGCCCTTGTAATAGCGGCCCTTTATGTTTTTGACCAAAGCCAACCCATTGACAGACTTGGTGATTCCACATAGGCTGAACAACCTCAGGCATTCATTCCTCGAGATCTCATCTTTGAAATCGTCGTGGTGATTGCTAGAAATTGAGCCAGGCGAAGACGCTAACCTAGGTTAGAACAAGACTTGCAATTATCGCATCCAAATTCGGAAAGGTTACGGAGTGCTAGAAAAGGTGAACGTTGAACGAGCGGTTGAATAACCCCCAAGGACAAAAGGCAAGAACACCTCAGCGAATGCAATGGCCTCCCAATGTATACATATCTGGCTGGTGTCAAAATTCGAGCTACGATGTAATCACAACCCTCCGTCTCGGCAAGCTGGCCTGGTCCGGGACTGCAGCATTCGAGAAATGGGCTAATCTCCGACAGAGCAGGTGATGCCGGAGTTAAGGAGATAGGCTATCGGTTTGGTCAGTTGCATAAGAGAAACGCTCGGGAAACCGTCATCTTGGGGCGCTGAAGCATTCAGCAGCCGAATCGCAGTAACTCTCTCAATATCTGCCAAATGCCATGGCAGGCGAAACCTGCAAAGCCTAGTTCTAATAAGCTCTCCATAACGATTACCCTGTATCGCCCGAGTGACCTCTAGGATTACTACTAGCTTCAATCTTTAAACGGGTTTGAAGTGGTACTCTCAAAAACCTAACACACGACAATCCAGAGCAATTTGTTGTATTCTCTGTGTAATACGCAGAGACTTGGATTGACTGTCTGACTTGTTGTGGTTGTAGCTATCTAGAAAGGCCACCAGGTGAGTGGTGACCGAAGTGGGAAGTACCGCATTCACTAAGATTATATTCACAACGCGCCGTTGGTGTGTAACGTAGGCTGTACCTGATTAAGCATAATTTTCCGGAAATTCTACTGGGGAAACTGTCTTTTATTTGGTACGAGGGCTGAAAATAGTTGAAAATTGCCCTTAATCAGCTAAAGTCTACGTTACACGCCAACGGCGCGTTGTGAATATAATCTTAGTGAATGCGGTAGGCTATCCACCCATGATGACGTGACTACTAGGGAAAGGCTGCTGCCTTGACAGGTTTTGGAGATGTGGCGGCTACCACATCTGTATAGGGGAGGCAATCAAATTACCTCCAATTAAATCTGTGTTTTATGTGCCCTTGCTGCCTATCGCGCCCTCGGTGCAGCCAAGACCGTTCATGCATTTAGGTTTCCATACCTAGTCTGCCAGACAAGGATGGTTTAACTAAGCGAGCCTCCGGGAATACGAAGGGACTTGTTCTCTTCTATCGAGGTTCGAGGCTGTAATCACTTTAATCGGTTTAGTTGTCCACTTGTCTTGTCTTAGACATTGCTAAGCATCTGGTTACTAGACTACGTTGCATGATGTTTCAAATTCCCAGATACCTAGACAATATTTCCTTGACTTACGTGTATACTGAATCGTCAAACGCGATATACATCACACTTAATCATAGACCGGAGCCCGAGGGGCCGGGACGTGAATTTTTATTTCCATTTCTGGAGAGTGGAGAATCCTGGGGCTGATGCCGCGTCTTGGCAACTCTATTGGATCAAGAGTCACGTTGTGTCACTAACACGCTGGATCGTTATTTAATACTTTGCGCAGCCTGGACACCAACGACATATTTTTCGCTTGCCTTACAAAGTCCCCTCTGCCAGTAAAAACCAGCATATTTGTTATGGTAACATATACATAAAAAAAATAGAGGGTGAAAAAAAAAAAAAAAAAACACAGCTTCGCCAAAGCCATTGTTCTTCCAATCGCATCACCGCCGTTCCACCCTAGCCAAAGTACAACTATTATTTCACTCCCTGGACTCAGAGTACAATACCTTTATCCATCTTATCTTTGCTTCCCATCTTGTCTTGAGATGGCAAACGGAGACCCTGGTAAGCGGCTATTCTTACGGAGTCAGACCTTGACATATACCCTTTCCTTGATATTGTCACTAAGCGTGTCCTGCTCTGAACAGTCCCCGGTAGCCTCTACATTTATGCTCCTAACAAAGCGGCGCCTATTATTTTCGTCGTTGCTTATGGCGTCTCGGCTATCGGTCACATCTGGCAGTGCTAGTAAGTGTGTCTTCATTTTCATCATTGCAATCCTCTCGGCTTCGTGCCGACCTGCTAACACGGATCATTAGTCGCTATAAAAGCTGGAAGCTGCTTGGAATGCACCCACTCTGCGCCGTTTTGTTCACAGCTGGGTACGCGGTGCGGGAATACGGAGCATACAACTATATCTATACTAGCAAGAACGTCTTGATTGCCTACATCCTGAGCCAGGTATTTATATATGTATGCCCGTAAGTGACAGCATAAATTCAACCCAAATCAAGCCATGTGCCCCTAGTTGAATCACCTAGCTAATAGTTTGTTTGTTCAGACCACTTCTTGAACTTGCCAACTATCATATCCTCGGCCGAATACTTTACTACGTACCATACTTCGCACCTCTTCCTCCTAGCAGGGTCTTGTCCACGTTTGGCGGCCTACTGGCACTCGTTGAACTATTGAACTCCTTAGGGGTAGCCCTGGCCTCCAACCCGGCATCAGCACCGAGTCAACAACACCTGGGCAGCAGCTTAACACTAGCCGCTATCGGAATACAGCTCGGTGTCATCGTTATTTTTATCGGCATCGCCGGCATATTTCACTATCGCTGTATAAAAGCCGAGGTACATGCAAAGGCAGTGTCAACGCCTCTTATTACTCTTTACGTCAGCATGGTCTTCATTGCCATCCGATCTATCTATCGCTTGGTCGAGCATGTGGGCAATACGAACGTGGACCTCGACGATCCCGAGTCGCTAAAAACCCTTAGCCCACTCTTGCGGTATGAGTGGTTCTTCTACGTTTTCGAGTCGACACTCATGTTCCTCAACTCTGCCCTCTGGAATATATGGAACCCTGGACGGTATTTACCAAGGAACTACCACGTTCACCTGTCTCAGGATGGCATGACTGAGGTAGAAGGAGAGGAGGACGCTGATGATCGGCCGTTCCTGGCCAAAGCAGCACACATATTTACCTTTGGACTTCTCTTTCGAAGAAAGCGTTCATATCAGTCGACCAGTGAGCTCAATAATTTCTCGATGGCAGATCACCAGGGCTCAGCTGAATCATGCCACCGTCCTTGATTGATACTAGTCCACCTTTTTTCTCCCCAGGGCTTTAAACCCCCGACCCATGTCAAGGATCCGTGAGCAGGCACCCGGGGTCGGGGGGTAAGCGTAAGTACAACCCGTGGGCTTAATGTACTAATTCTTTAATACTCTTTTATACTTAGATAGTTTGGGAAGATAAATTGATTATTTATAATTGAATTGAAAGAGCGAGCAGACATCCCGGCTAGGATGTACGGGTTTTTGGCATGGTGGTATCTTGATACAGTAAAAATAAAATGTTAAAGAGCTGATAGAAACACCCATTTCGGGATAGAAAATGACTGTCACGTGACGACGCTAGAGCTAGGATTGGATTTAAGAATATAAAGTTACGGTTAGTATCTTAAACATAGATATCTAGATATGTATATTGCAACAACGAAACATGCCCAACATAACTGCATTGATCTCGCGCATGAAATTGCACCCTCCCTTCGACCACTCTAGCGCGAACAGGAGCTTTTGCCTTGGGACCCCGCCTCCTCGCTATGGCAAACGTGCAAATCATCTCAGACATCCACTTGGAGAGCCCGAGGACATATGACGTTTTTGAAATCACCCCCAAAGCACCACATCTAGCCTTGCTGGGAGATGTTGGTTACATGTTCCACCAACAAGAGTACTTCGACTTTCTACGGCGGCATCTGTTGAAATTCCAGACAATCTTCCTAGTTCTCGGTAATCATGAACCGTGGCATTCTACGTGGGATGCTACGAAAAAGGCAATTCGCGGATTCGAGCGCCAGATTTCACAGGAGCGGCAGTCGTCAACTAGTCTGGGAAAGTTGGTCCTACTGGATCGCACCGTTTACCACCTAGAAGCAGAAACTGGGGAGAGCGTTGCTATCGTTGGATGTACGCTGTTCTCCCAGGTGCCAGCCCAGTCCATAGAAGCGGTAAGCTTTGGCATCAACGACTTCTATCGAACCGAGAATTGGACGGTGGAGAATCACAACGCTATGTTCGAAGAGGAGTTGAAATGGCTTAATGAACAAGTTATATCACTACGCGGGAATAGGATTATCGTTTTAACGCACTATAGTCCGACCCTGGATGAGCGCACGACAGATCCAAAACACAAGGGTAGTCTAATCCGTTCCGGCTTCGCCACTGATCTGAGCAACAGTGCGGCCTGGCTAAGCGATGATGTCTTGGTTTGGGCTTTCGGCCACACGCACTTCAATTGTGATTACGTGGATGAACAGACTGGGAAGCGCGTTGTTACTAATCAGCGTGGTTACTACTTTGCCCAATCCCTCGGGTTTGATGAGGACAAATGTATCAAGTTTTGATAAGGTATAACTGTCAGATATAAGCGATGACATGCAGAATTCAGTATATTGATCGTATTGTTGTTCTTGTCTATGTTTGACTTGTCAAAATAAAGGATATGTCGGCGAGTGACGCGATATAGGGGGTAAGCTAAGTTAGCTCCAACTCCGGGGATCTACCTTATAAATTATTAATATATGCCCTAAGGGTAAAGCAAAATCTACTTAATTTGTGGTTGGATATACCCGCACGGGATTTGAACTCTGCGGATTTCGGCTGCAGATGTGGTAACCAGAGGTGTGATTGGCTCCAACCGATGTAACCGAAAACCCTCGACTCTACGGTGTTGTCAGTCACATGGATTTGGGAGTATATATCTTGAAGGGAACTCTTTGAACGATTTGAGGACTTTCTTTGATAGCGGGGAGCGCTGGCCGAGTTGCGAACTCCGGAAAACGTACATGCATACCCCGTTTAATACGAAGAACTTCACCACATTTTCTCGCGTTGTGGTCCTCATCATCCAGCTCACTTGAGCGATATCAAATAAAAAGACACTCACTCTTGTCACGCCGCGTCAATGTGCTCGTCTTTACCGACAAGCGTTCTCTTATAACCTGATGCTGAGATGGCAGGAGATGCGGTGGAATGGGGTCGGCGTGGCTAGTTATATCAATTACCCCTCACAGTGGATTCCTTTGGTGGGCTAAATCTTGCACTCTACAACATCAATACAACCCAATTGACAATCCCTTCGCTACCAATATCCAAATAAGAACAACTAATTCTGGAAAATAATCTGTAGGAATAAATTATAGTTTCTTTCGATTAACACTATTTCATAGCAGCGGTGGCGCGGGTGTTTTCTCGCAGCTGCCAGCATTTGAAATCCTGGCTTTCTAAGCAACGCTTCTTTTGACCACTCCCCACATTTTCGTATGCAGGTACGGAACCAACAGTTAAAAAACAAGAGCCAATCTGTATAAGACAAGGCCTCCAAAAGGTCCTCCCAGCCCATTCGCTCACTTACCTCAGTATGCTGTAACTGGCGGCTGTCGCTTGGAACTGTAATGAGAAAGGCTCCTCGCTCCTTCGCAAGACCAGGTCCTCATCGCACGCCGTCTCGTCTGCCCATCTATTTTCCTCCCTCATCTGCACTCTTTCAGTCCCACCCTCGGACCATCAAACGAGGAGCCATTTCATCAATCTCCTTCAATTCATCATTCAACAGACCCTCTCAGAAGGCCGCAGCTTCTACCGACATCGAAATGTCTACCATGGAGCTCTCCGGCCTCACTGACGAGTTCGACTGGAACAGCACCATGGGGACCACCGCGCGTTTCATGCGCGACACTGGGTTCGAGACATGGGGGTTCCTCGTCTACCGTTGCGCTTACGGCGACGATGAAGCATGGAATCGCTATATGGAGGCTTTCAAGGAGCAAGTGCACAGTACGCTAGAGTACTACGGTCGTGATCATCTGCTGGAGCAGTATGCGCAATGGACCGTCGTCGAGGACGAGGAGACCCTGAACGGCGCTTCCAAACAGCAGGTGCGCGAACGCTTCGTACAGTGGAGAGACCAGCACGGCGTCTCTAGAGAGCTCTCCGAGGCAGCCACCATCGCGAGACAGAGCGCGTTTTGGGCGACTCACGAAAGCACCCTTCTCCCACGGTTCACGTACTGTCTCTACGTCGACCAGAAGTGCCTTGATACGCTCAAGCGATATTCTGCCGCCAAAGCCAGCGGCGCCGGCCGCACGGATTGGCCCGTCATCGTCATGATCGACGGGGATTATGTGCCTGGTGGCCAGTACACCCACCCGCATCGCCGATATCCCGAAGTTGAAGGCTGTACGGATGAGTATGTGGGTTGGCAGTACGTGACTGCTGGATGTGTGCCAACTAGGTATGATGCGCTGCATTATGAACGCATGGATCTTGGGGGGGATTTTGAGAGGCCGCCAGCTGTATATCCTTTTTGTGAGGAGCCTATGCCATGATACACAGCGTAGATACGAGCTAGGGGTAAAAAGAAGATAATTCTGCGTTTGAACTTATAGAGATTGATCGTCAGATCGAAATTGGCCCTGAATCCATGAACTATGTACATGGAACATGTAGTAGTAATTAGTAGTGGACACCTTGCCACGTCCCAGTGCCCTTGCGGAGGCCCGGACTAACTTCAACGCAGAATAGTCCCTACGACGTTAAACACCATCAATCAATCAATCAATCAATCAATCAATCAATCAATCAATCAATTAGAACATAGATTTATTTTCCTGTAAAACCTCAAATAGACTGGTCTAGAAACTGGAGACGTAGGAGGGGAGACTTCCTCATAGGATCTAACTTGGAACCCCTATTTAGGTTGTAAATTCACCTGCACTACTCGAGTTAGATGGAGAAACGAGTTCACAACTGGAATCTGGATTATTGAGGTCATACAACCCGCTAGGCACGTCGGAGTAGCAAGAAAATGAGCGCTGTACATCATAATGAGCGGCACAAAGAAGAGTCGGTAGGGATATATCTATGTATATCTCTATATCAATATATACATAAGAAAGTAGGAAGCGATTACCAATGTAACATAACCATATAATAATATAAAGTACCTCCTTAACTAAATCCTCTTTCAACAAGACGGAGCAGCCAATCTAGAATGGTGACACTATGTACTGAAGATCATCGAAAAGGCTGTTGACATCCATCTGAATCTGCAACGCGTTCGCGGGTGCGTTGCCGCTCATGATAGCCCGCGTATACCTCGCAATGATATCAGTGATTCGGTCTGACACCCATGTACGGGTCGTCAGCGCCGCCTGTTGGTACCACGCCGGGTAGAATTCGACAAACTGGCGGCCAAGGTTAGAGAGCTGCGGGACCGTGGCCGCAATCCGGTCCGCGGCGTCCCGTATATTATTGAGGTTCATGCGGACGATTGGCAGGATGGTGGGGTCGTTGATATAGCGGAACACACCAATGATCTGGCGTAGGGCCTCGAACAACTCGTCTTGGGCGACCGTGCTGGTGAGAGATCGCTCCAGCAGCATGTCAAACCTATCCCGCGCCATGGGCGATATCTGTTGTCCTACTCCTTCCTGAGTATTCAGATTAAAGATTCTACCTTTTCTCTGATTGAAATCCCTCTGGCAGAGGACCATTCCCACACGATTTCCATACGAGCCGATCTGATCGTACATATATTCCACTGGGGTCTTGATTTCTTGGCTCGTTCCCGCTCTAGGCAGCCCCGGTGGGAGTACAGGCGCGTTATAGTAGTTTTCTATCGAACAAAGAGTTAGCCAAGTACTTGTGCCAAGATGTGTCTGCACATGGCCCTCCAAGATGTCATCGGGATTGAGAAGATCTTATAGTTCAAAGCAAGGGAACAGTAGCATGTTCGAGGCGCTCGAAGAAGATAAATAAAGAAGAGGAGGGATTGATTACGCATAACTGGGGGCGGCACGACGTTATACTGTGAATCCTCGCCACCCGGCAAGATCCCTGAAGCAATTGTATAAGAAAAGTCTTGCAGAATTTGTAGCTATGTATGCGTCGAGTTAGCCGGGCTGCTCCTCTATCTTCTAATCTAGCCAACTTGGAAATTGGGGAGAACTCACGTCTGGGTTATGCTCTGTGTCGTAATAGTTGAGTAGTTGCTGGCGAGTGAGTGTCGTGCTATCAAGCACCTCAATATCGGTCGAACGACATCCGGCCCTTCTTCGCATCCTGATTATTCAAAGGTCAGCATGGGATACAGCCATATAGACAATACATTTGAGGGGGATACCTACCTCACAGCAATATTTCGTGCCGCGGGCCCCCGTGTAGAATCATGAAGATGTGTAGATCCTGGATAACGCCTGGCGTATATCCTCAGAGTGTATAGAATCCCAAGATATCTCCAAGTGATATTGAAGCCCCTATTTCCATTGCCTTTGGCGCGCGCATCAATCGAATGACTTGATTCCGTGGTAATAAGCTCATGGGAGGTTAGGTTAGTCCAGTACGGTACCGTATTGTTAACCAGGGGCGTCGTCGTTGGTGACGTGATATTGAGTAACCTAATAGCATCACCATCATCGTCATCGTCACCCTCATCAGCGAACGGATCCTCACCACAAGGATCGGCGCCGGAATAGCCATCAAATCCCACGCCGTCCACCCTGCATATATTTATACCACACTGAGGCTGGGCCAAATAATCTGGAAGGAAAGGGTCTCGAGGAACGACGCCACCATCATCCCCCCCTGCTGGGCAGGTGTTGAATGATACAAAACCCTGGAACTCGTAGGTTAGACATGAACAGAACGTCATTATGTGGAGACAGAGACGTACTTCAGCAGTGTTGGGCGTGACAGAGACTTGGTCAGCCCGTCCTTCACCACCGAGGTTCGGGTAGTGTAAGTTTTGGCCTCGAGTGCTTCCAGCATAGACCTTCCCTTTCCTCACCCACTTGAATTTACTGCCACCCAAACTGCCACGGTCACTTTCGGGGCGCTCTCCATCATTAATCCAGACAGAAGCATCTCCACTGAACTTGTCTACCCACATGAAGTCGGCACGACCATCGCCTAATTTATCCACCAAAACTATCAACAATAGTATGAGACCATGAGGATAGGGCAAGACTCACCATTGACATCAGCAAATTTATGATTCGCTCGATCAAACTTCTCGCTATATTTAACCTGCCCGACGCTTCTAAGATCAAAGAGATCTGATTTGCAGTCGTTCAGCCAGGCCGTCGTCGTACCATCAGGCTTCATGCAGAGGTAATCGACACATCCACTTCCCGTGATATCGGCAAAATGGTGTCCGATATCGAACAAACCCACCCCCCAACCCTCCCTGCAGAAGGACTTCGAGCTAGTTCTCTTCTCGAAAAAGAACGTCCCACCCGAGTACTTGGTGAGCCACACCGTCAGGCTACCGGTCTCTCTGTCGACCCCGATAATGTCGGCCTTACCGTCCTTGTTCCAGTCTCCGACATGTAGGGCCTTTCGATCCATGCCCGTATCTAGCGTCTGGGGAGTGCCCCAGTTGGGGTAATTGGTGGTGCCGGGAGGAGTGTTGGTGTTTGGGAAGATGACGACCTCGCCGTCTGCGGAGATCCAAACGTAATCATCATTGCCGGTCCCTGTCATGTCACCCCAGTGGGCTCCATCACCTAAGAGTGTAAGAGGTCAGTATTTTCACCGCCAGTGGAACATGGGGAAAGTTTGTTGATGAGTCCTGAAGAATTACCTTTCTGGGTAGTGCCGCCGTTTCCAAGATTCTTCCACGCTCTTGCGCTTATAGACCAAATATCGTCTAGCGTAGTTTTGAGATAGAGATACTGTCAAGCTTAGCATTGGTACCACCAGAGCATCAACACCAGTGAACAAGGCTGGCAGGAAGGAGAGGAGGGGGCATACACTATAACGCGAGGTACTGGGACGATTCGACCAGACACGGGCAAACATGATATTTTGCTGTCCCCCTACATTCTCGTGCATACCCTCATGTGTAATGCCAGCATAATTCCAGTAGGGAACCAAACTTTTACTGGTGCCGCGTTGGTTGATCCAGGTTCTGACCTGCCCTGTTTCGTCCACCCAGAGCACATCAGAACGGAAGTCTCCATTGATATCCACTATTCATGTATAATTAGTAAATAATGCGGCAGTTACTTAGGACTAGGTAAAGGCCAGACTTGCCAAATCGCATCATAGAAATGTCAGGAAGAGTTTGTGAAGTCCTGAAGACTATTCCCAGGTCTTGCCAGTACGCTGCTGAATCTGACAGTATGCCTGCATTACGCCAACAATGCAAACTACCGTCGTCGTTTATGACACAGTAGTCTAGTCTACCATCTCCATCAATATCTATGGCAGAGTTAGTTTGGCGCTCCGAGTGGAAACCACAGCTGAAGAAGATGTAAACTTGTAGTTATGACCTACCACCGAGGCGAACCCGGGCCTGAGGATATCCTGGAATGGCATTCTTGAACTAGATAATACGGCTGTTAGTAAAGACTCTCGGAATCATCTCACATGTGACAGACACGGGTTGTGACTTACTTTACCAACACTTCGCCACTTTGGTGGATTGGTACCCTCGTTGATGGACACATACCTGCAAATTCATCAGATCCTAGAGTACATATGTTGGATTGGGTTCAAAAAAGTCCCTCACATATTTCCGGACGGGTCTATACATATGAAATCGTCAAGACCGTCGTTGTTCTAAATCTCTAGAGTCAGTCTACCTTGTCGACTTAGAGGCGTGCTACTACCAGTCTCTCTTACCACATCACCCCAGCGTATCCCTGCACTCGTGTTAGCTTCAAGAACAATATCGAGAAAACAGCACACCACGAACCTCGGACAATACAATGGCCTTCGACCATGGAAAAAGCTCCAACAGCCAATTTGAATGTGCCATCTCCCTGGTTGATGTAAAGATGTACATATGGGAGATCCTCAAATATTCTGCCATTCTGAACCACAACGATGTCGTCCAGCTCCCCACCTCGGGGGGCACCACCTAGGTTTACCGCTTGAAGAGCATATGCAGTAGGTGCTTCGTCAGTAGGCGGGAACAGGATAAGATTGCTGTTCCAAATTTCGCCCATAGGCATAGACCTGTGCACGTAGGTACCATCGTTGACGATTAAAGGTGAGTTGCCCCGAAGAACCTGCATGCCATTCCGTGGATCTTGCGCTCCACTATTGTACTCCTTGTCGCATTGGCTACCGGAGGTGGCATCATCGAAATCAACGTTAGTTGACGGAGCCTGTAACCAATTGTCCTGTGCTTCGACCTCCTCGATGGCTGCGGCCCAAACCGAGGCCATTCGGCGCTGTCCCTCTATCGTCGGGTGCGTGCCGTCCGACATAATGTGGTCAAGAGTAATAAACCCATCATCCATGTCAGCTAACTGGATCTTTTGGCCATTGCCCAAGAATTCCAATACCAGATCACGGTAGTAGCCGTTCAGTGTATTGACATTATCAGGGGCATGCCTATTCGGTATCAGAGTAGACAGGATAACGACAACGCCAGGGGATAGGTCAAAACACGTCTGTAACAAAGTCCTCATTCGATTTCCAGCGTTTTCGATATCCTTATTCGTTGTCGCATCGTTTGTTCCGGCGTTGAGCAGGATTACGTTGGGTTTGTACTTAGGGACAGCGATTGCTGCCTTTTGTGTGATGTTCGTTAAAACATAACCCGGCCAGCCTTCGACATCCTATTATGTATATTATTATTAGCATTGTTTTGCAGATGGGGTATGAGTGTGCCTAGGCAAGTATCTCCAGAAAAGTGAAAACATACGTTATCAGCAAACTGTCCAAATCTCCTACTTCCCACCATATTCACTTTCCAGCCACGGAACCGCAGGTAATCCCTGATGAACTTCCTATATCCTCGACCCATGCTGGCTGGTTCAGCCGGATCACCGTATGTAATGGAAGCACCAAGTGGCATGATGCGAAGGTAGAATGACTGGGGAATTCTGAGCGTGGCATTATGAAACGAGGCATTATTGGGAAAGGGAAAGTTGATTGAGACATTACGAGCCTCGTATTGGGATAAAGGAGAAGGAGCGGCGAGAATACCGGAAAGAATTGAAGAAAGGAGCAAGATAAGCCCGAATGGGATGACACTGGCTGCTTTGAAGGCAACCATGGTTCATAGATGTGAACGTCTTAGAGGTCATTAACCTGGCGTTTCTGAGGCGTTCATATTCTCATTGAATGGGCAACACTCGAGATTTATATTTGCATCACGGCTTCATCACCATGTTCTTCTTCTTACTCTCCTAGGTCCACACAAGTTCTTTTCATCCGTTCCATCCGTGTTGAAATTGTCAGCATGGTCACGATGCTCTTAGCGAGCCACGGCTTAGTCGGGTCTATAGCAAAGTTTTTCCAGAGGTTCTCTCGTGGCTTCGCCATCGGCATAAGCAATAGACCAGTCCGTGCCGCATCGTGCTGACAATTCTCCCTAAAGATACAGAACCAGTTGTGATGGTTCAAGCTATGTTGGTTTGGCCATGGTTCAATAGTTCCAGAAGCAGGGATACTAATTTGGCATCTCGGATTTAATAAGCCAGGATTGGCTGATGTTGGCCACTATCTAACCTTTCACATTAGTTAAGTCACGATTCTTAGACTGGTGGGCTGATACTAAAGATTATATGGCTCAGCTAGAATTACATCGTCCGTTGAGTCAGAGCACCCGAGAGACAAAAGTTGTACATGTAACAAGTTGAATGTGAGCTGGATTCTAACATAGACATAATATGGACTGTAATGCCTTCAATTTTATGTCAACGATGGTATGAAACTCTATATTATGTCACTCGGATTGAGACTAAGTATCATTTCAGGTCAAATCCCTTCATGTATCTTGTTGCATTGTCACACATAACAGACAAGTACTATACTCTGTATATGGTATCAGCTGTAGGATACGTTACATGTAGGGCTCGTGCAACAATAAGAGACATCACACCCCTCCCTGTATTGGGGATCGTGAGATGCATGTTGGTTCATAGTGCTGAGGTCTGATATCACGTTACTAGGCTTAGAAGAGACTGGAACTATGAGCACGCGGCATAGACTCGTCTTCGGAGCTAAGAGGTTGTGAATGTGATTTGGGTGGTGGAGGCCCGAACTATATGGCATGACACTAGGTGGGCTAACATGCGGCGTAGGCGACGAAGTGCTTATATTGTGCGCATGATAGTCGGCTGTGGATACAGACGAAGCAGGATCAACTGAATGGGTCTCTGTCTTTCCAAAATAGCATCGGTTATGACAAGTATGCAGTGTAGGAAGAGTTATTACCAGTAGTTCGCTTGTACCTATCGTCCGATCAACATATGCTCCAATTACTGGGATTACCTTGATCTTGCTAACGATAGTATGGTTACGAGACACTCTATGAAAAGTTTTTGATTAATAATATAGCGTAGCATTCTGCATGCATTAAATATTGGGAATGGATTGCAGAGGTCGTTTGGAATCTCCAGTACTATATTCGCCCGATAATATACAGCTGCCAAGAAATGTCAACGTGATGAAGTGGAAACGACCATAGGCGAACTACAACTACGCCCATTCATTATCTCAATTAGGTAAAAGAAAAAGTGAGACGACTGCGCCGTGGTAATGTTTAGAACCGACAGGTAATTGAGCTGAGTAGTTGTCCATAATCATTAGTAAATAAAGTAGGCTTTGAGGATGTTGGTTGTGGCCTGGTCATGATCCCTGCTGCAGTAGTTTGTATGCAAGGTACCAACATGCATCTAAGTTAGCACAACACGGCAGAGGTTTTCATCTGCCTAGCTTCTTATTCTCTACACATGACTCGTGTTTTTAGCTGTGATTCCCTTAAGGGTTTTTCTGATTGCGTCTCTTAAGCTTTTCTTCTCTTCTTGGCCCCCCCTAGTCTTCGGCAGCCTAATTCTCGGGACGACGCTATATGGTACCTGACATGATGCATAACTCAAATGCGCTGCTGAAGAGATCATACCCTGCTTGTGCGCCCCTCTCCAGCTGGTCCAGTCTTCGTGTGGTGACATTGCTTGTAGAGCGTATGTACCTATACTACTTGAGCTTGTAATTGAGCTATACCTCCCCTAGAGTAGTCTCGGCGAAATAGATCGATGCTTTCTCTAGAATATCGTTGTTGGCTATGGCGGGCGAAGCACTGATTGCTAAGGAGGCTGACTAGAGTTGCGCAACTGTGGTTAGGTGTGGAATTCCGTCGTTATCGAGGACGCGGCGAAAGGGGGCTCCATCGAGGACTATTTGTTAAGCAAAAACCCTGCCTTACGACCACCCCCTATCATGACCACCCCCCCTGCCTATTAATTACCTAACTTTTAAAGCGATTTTCTTAACGAATACGTTATTTGTAATGCTTTTTTTGGTATTTTTAATTAAATCTATTATTTTTAACCTTAATAACCTTTTTTATATTAATATCTTTATATTTTAAAATGTATTAATTAATAATTTTATTAATATATATTAAATAATTATATAATTTATATTTTACCTTTTATATATATATTATATAAATAAAGTTATTATTAAGACCTATTTTAATTAATTTTTATTTAACTTTAATATTTTTTTAAAGTTTAATTTTTAATACTTTAATTTTTATTTATAAAAATATAATAATTTTAGCTTTTTTATTAAAAGCTTTATTAACCTTTATAAAAAATAACTTTTATAATAAATTATTAAATAAAGGAAAAGTTTAAGTTAATTTTTATATATTAATTTATAATTATTAATTTTTAAAAGGTATTTTAATTATAATTTTTAAAGTTATTTTTAATAAATTAGGTATAATAAATTATTTTTTAATTATAAATATTAATATTATTACTTTTATAATATTTTTTTAAAAATATTATATATTTTAAAAATAATAATACCTATTAATTTTTTAAATATATTTTAATTATTTTTTATACTTTTTTTAATATATTTAGCTTTATTATATTTTTATATATAGCTTTATATATTATTAATATATTTCTTTTTAAAAGCTTTACTTTTAAATAATGCATTTTCCACTTGACCTGGCCACCTAATTGAGCTGGCCACCCCCTTAACCTATATAAAAATCCAATGTTTTAATCTGGGATAACTTAACCAATATTAGGCCCATAATAAAATAATTAATACCATTGAATTTGTTATTTAAAGGGGAATCCAACGGTATTTTTTATTATTTTTTATAAAATTTATTCAGCGAGATATTAAGCAATACGCTAAAGGGGCGCTAAGCAAGGATTATTTTAACGCTTACTTTAGCGTATTCCTTAATAACTCCGCGAATATAAATTGTAAAATTTAATAAGGGGTACCGTTAAATAGCTTTTATATTTATGAATCTAAGGGTATATTTTATTACTTTATACGACTAATACTCGTAAAGTTATTGAATTATCACGTGATTAACGCACCGATGTTTTTTGTATGGGCTGGTGGGGTGGCCAGGTCAATTGGGTGGCCAGGTCAAGTGGGAGATGCGTTAATTTATAAGTATTTTTTATAGTTTATTTTTTAACTTTTTTTTTAATAAATTAAAAATTTTAATATTTAATAGTTATAATATATAATTATAATAAAGTTTAACGCATCTCCCACTTGACCTGGCCACCCAATTAAGCTAGCCACCCCCCCAGCCCATACAAAAAACGTCGGTGCACTAATCATATGATAATTTAATAACTCTACAAATATTAGTCGTATAAAGTAATAAAATATACCCTTAGATTCATAAATATAAAAGCTATTTAACGGTACCCCTTATTAAATTTTACAATTTATATTCGCAGAGTTATTAAGCAATACGCTAAAGTAAGCGCTAAAATAATCCTTGCTTAGCGCCCCATTAGCGTATTGCTTAATATCTCGCTTAATAAATTTTATAAAAAATAGTAAAAATTACCGTTGGATTCCCCTTTAAATAACGGATTTAATAGTATTAATTATGAAATTGTGGGACTAATATTGGCTAAGTTATTATAGATTGAAACATTGGATTTTTATATAGGCTCAAGGGGTGGCCAGCTCAATTAGGTGGCCAGGTTAAATGGAAGATGCATTATAAAATAAAAGTTAAATTTTATTTAAAAGGTAAATTTAAAGAAATTTATTATTAATATATAATTTATAATTATTATATATTAATATATATTATATATTATTATAATAGCTTTAAATATAAAGTATAAAAAAGTTTTATAATTACTTTAATATTATAAAATTATTAATTTACCTATTAAATAAATATTTAAAGTATTAATCTTTAAATAAACTTTAATTTTAATTTAAAAATTATTAACTTTATATTTATATATCCTTTTAAATTATTAATAATAATAAAGTATTATTAATAATATTAATAGCTTTAAAAATAATAATTTATTTATTTTTTTAATAACTTTTTTAAAAGTTTAATATAAAATAAAGTTAATAATTATTTAATAATTATTATTAATGCTTTAATTTATATTTATTTTATTAATATTATAAAAGTAATTAAAAGGGATATTTATAATTTTTAAAATTTTAAAGTAATTAAAAAAAAGGTTAATATTAACTATTATTATATTATTAATATAACGCATTTCCTACTTGACCTAGCTACCCAATTAACCTGGCCACATTTTTAACCTTCGTACACACATGAAAAAAATCCCTTATTTCTCCATTAATAATTATAGAAACCCTTTATAAAAAAAGCAACCTATAGCTTATACTTTAAGCTATTGAATAAAACTTAAAATTATTTATCTAATGTATTGTTATTATTTATAATATTTCTTATATAATATTTACTCTTTAAATGAAAGGTTTTAAATTAATAAGCAAAATATTACCTTTAAAAGCTTAATTAACTCCAAATGAAAAATAATTAATTATATAATATATTTTTAATCTTATAATAAAATTATT